TTCTTATACTTCCTCAAGCCCAGAATCCTCTGGGCAGGGCTAATCTCCTTGCATTACTGGGGCAGTTTTGCCACACACACCGTCTCTTTGAAGCCACACAGCCTGGGTGGCATGTGACTCTTGCCCCATGTGCAGATGAGGACACCCTTCCTGAGGCTTAGTTCACCTGCTATGTCTGGGCGGGGAGGGGGACAGGACCAGGACACCTGCTGTCCTGCCATGAGCTATGAGGTTTCCATCTGAGGTTTATGAGGGATCTGGAGGCCAAGGAGTATGGAAACAGAGGAGGGCAGTGCTCAAGGCAGACATCGTAGAGATGCCAGATCTATAAAATCTCCCCATGGCTCCTCCAGCTCTCTCAAGGGGCCCCTCAGACTCTCTCTGGGGGTCTCTCTCTGTTTCTGTCTCTGTCTATCTTTATCACACACACACACACACACACACACACAGACACACACACACACTACCACTTCCATATCACTCCAGGGCCTCCTGCCCCTTCCCTGAGTCACTTAGCACACAGCAGGACCCTGAATTGCGGCCCTGCGTGACCCCCTACTCACTCTTCCTCCAACCTTCCCCCAGGGCCAGCATCCTTACACACACTGGGACCAAAGCCCTGACTGTGTCCTGGTTGACTCTGGGGAAGAAAGCCAACCCTGAAGCTCTTGGACTCACAGGGCAGTGAGGGCTGCCAAGTGGGCATGGAAGAGAAGGCCGAGGCTTGAGAAGCAAATGCACCAGCCTGACCCTTCCCCGCCTGGCAGCGCCTCTGGTTTCTGTGCAGCAGGGGTAGGAGGTAGAACGCTCTAATTTCTGCCAGGAAAGGGAGCCTGCACCACCCAGCAAGGCCTGCTCTCTCCTGAGGGTGGAATGCTGAGAGGTAGCAGTCTTGATTGAGAGCCACGACTTCTGGCAAGTTGCTTAGTTTCTCTACACTTGTTTTTCACCCAATGAGGATAATGATGCCTGCTCTTGTTCGCTGGGTAGGGGAGGCATGAAGGTCAAAGGAGGTCATCGATGAGAAGGTACTCCAAACAGCCCTCATTATAAGTAGGAAGCGTGCTCTTTCTCAAAGAAGCATGTTGAAACATGCCCATGCTTGCAGCCATATACACACGCATGCACAATTTTACTTTCAGTTCTTGTAGAGATTCCTTAAACATCCAGTTGTATTCCCAGGATAACTGCAGACCCAGAGAAATCCCAGGCCTGGCTTCCCCTCCATGGAAGAATCTGAAATGCATTGTTGGAAGAGCAGAAACGCATTCTCACAGAGGGTGAGGACGATTTCAGAGCCAGTTGTCACCCAGGCTGGAAGGAGACCATCTCATGGCTTCAGAGGGATCATTTGAAAGCAGGTGAGAACCTGGAAGCTGCTCTCCTGCCCAGGAACAGGAAGACCTGGAAAAAGTCAATGGGTTGCCTAAGGATAGACAAACAGAAAGTTAGTGCAAGTTCCTGTTGCACTCACAGGACCCACCCAGCACTTCACCCCTTACATTTGACCTGGAAGAGGTACACATGCACATCCACACACCCTCTCTGGGTCCATATGAAATGGGCTCTAGAAAAACAGTGTGAACGGTGGGCCCTGCTCGCGGTGTGTGTTTGAACATGGAGCATTGCCATAAAGAATGATGCTCCAGAGTCGCTCCAGAGCTGGAATCCCTGCTGTCATGCACTAGCTGGGCCACCTTGGGCAACTTCTTTGTGGTACAGTGAGCCTAGTAACAGTACTGCTCATAGTGGGCATGACATGAGATGCTTGCATACACAGGGAAGGGGCAGGCAGGTGCCTGGGTGGTAGCTCAAGCTATTGTACTGTTCCCCTAGGAGAAAGGGAATGGAGGACTCACTCCATGCAGACCCCTACACCTGCTGCAGGGATAAAGTAGGGCCTGGGACGCAAGGGGAGTGCTGGGCTAAATGCTTTTAGTACTTGTCTCATTTCATTTAACAATAATTTCATGGGGTTGTTCTAGTTATCCTCATGATAGGCCAGAGAGGTTAAGTAACTTGCCCCAGGTCACACAGCCAATAAGAGGCAGCACAGAGAGTTGAACCCAGGTCTGTCTGTTTCTAAAGTACAAAGACCTTCTACTCCCTACTGCATCTCCAAGAGCTTTCACCTTGCCTCCTTGCAGGAAGATGGCTCATGGAACAGGTCTCTGGGTCACAGACCTGCCCTCTCCAACTGGGCAAGACTGGCGCGGTGCTGGGCTGAGTTTCCTGGCCTGGGGGCCTGGCCCAGTGGTTGCCTCAGCTGTGAGCTGATCAGCAGCCTGGTGCCACTGTCACCTAGATGAGGCCCACCTCTCGGGTGGCCTGAATCTAGGACCATGTGGACAGTGACGAGCTGCCTGCCTGGATCCCTGGAGAATGTCTCAGTGTTGTCTTGTGGTTTGAGTTTAGGGGCTCCAGCTTGCAGTCCCTCTACCAGTCCCAGACTGGGCTGATCCAGCTGCTCACAGGGGGCACCCCAGTTGGGTGCCTGTCAGCACTCTTTCATTATTTTCTAAGACCAGCTACCTCTTAATCCAGAGAAACAAGTTTTTGACACAGGGGCGGGGGGTGCAAGACAAACCTTGGCCAGTAGTGGTGACAGGTAAGGGAGGGAGCAAGAGCTTTAACATCAGACATACTGGAGCTTAACTCCTGGCATTGCTACTCTCAGCTGAGTAACCTGGGAAAGTCAGGATGCTCTTCTGGGCTTCAGTCTCACCACCTGTAAAATGGGAGTGATGGGACACGCCTCACACATCCTCCTGAGAAGTAATGAGACTGCACAGGGGTGCCCAGGTCAGGGCTGGCCACAGAGCAGGTGCTCAGAAACTTCAGGTCCCTGCCCTCCTGCCTGCTGGGGGCAGTAAGACCAGTCTTGGGAGCCGGCCTTGTCAGAAGGATACAGAGGTGGCCCGTTTCCATGGCTCCCTCCTGACCTTCATCTTGCTCTCTGCCCCCAAATGAGCTCCCCGCCCCCCCCGCCCCCCTGCCGCCCAAATCCATAAGAGCCATTCCATGGAGATTCAGAAATGGAGAATGCCTGTGTAATCTCAGCCAGTGATCTAACCCTCAATATATTTTCCCATCCTTTTTATTTATTTATTTTTTAGATTTTAATTTCATTGGGCCTGGCTTTCATACTAAAAATACCAGCCCTTGAGATAAAAAGCTTGTGCATTATGATTTTGCCTTATTCAGCCTTCCACGATGCAGTGAGTGCCTGAATAATGGAAATGAAAAGCCAGATGCTTCGTGCAGTGCTCCAGGCTGCTGGAGCTCTGTCTGCCGCAGGAAAGGGTCTTTGTGAAGAAATTGATCATTTTCTCCCAGAGTGATTGTGCTGGAATTGGGGAAGGGCTGCAGGAAGGCACAGGGCAGCTCCCTTCCCTTCTCTGAATAGGAGGTAACTTTATTCCAGATGAAATCTTGCTGTGGTGCCATAAATCATGACCCCTGATACACCCTCATGCATCTGTAACAGGAAGAACCAACACTCTCGCCCACCCAGGAGGTTGCAATGTGCAGGGAGGCCATAAATCCTCATGTGCCTTCCTTCTGCTTGCAGAGGTTAGTGCGGGGCACCTGGCCAGGGGAAAGCAGGGGTTTCAAAGCTTCTGCTACCTTTTGGAACCGAAGGGTGGTGCCTGATTTGAAGGCAGCAAAGCTAATGAGGCTATTTCCTGTGCTGTGGCCCTTCTCCCAGGATGGTCGGCCAGCGCAGGATGCAGAAAAGGGAAACAGATCTGGCTCTGCTCTCT